TCTCAAAGGGCAAGGTCCTGATCAACCAGAAAGGATGCTAATGTTTCTCTTGAGGTTCTTAAATGGAGGGAGGAAATGCTGACTTTAAAAGAAAACATTTTCCATTGCTCTTTATTTTGTGATATTCTCCACACATTTTCTCCATAGGCCAAGCACCACGTCCCTGAGACTCTTGAGGAATTTTGGACACATCTCAAATTTTCCTTGCCTTTCGTGTTCTTTCTTCTCTTTCTTTTTCTTTCTTCCTTTCTTTCAGCTTTCTTTCTTTTTCCTCTCTTCCTTTCTGTCTTCCTTGAGTTTCTGCTCCTCCTGCCTCCACCTCCAGAGTGCTGGAACCACAGGTGTGCACCGCCACTCCTGGTTTACACGATGCTAGGCTCCAAAGTCAGAACTTCCTAGACACCAGGCAAACCACTCTGCTGACTGAGCTGCAGCCCCAGCCCAGCCTCCTCGCTTTGCAACATGTCAGCTGTGAGTCTCTTCTGGAGATTTCCGGAATATGGTGGTGTTATCCGAGGGCAGGGTCTGCTCCTGTAGTCTCTGGTGGTCTGACAGGGACCAAACAGCATATGTCGCCGCACCTGCTCGAGGCTGAGCGAGCGACTGGATGAGAACCCCTCGTTTCTGCCACCTTCCTTTGAAACCCTGAATGAAAGCAAAAAGATGTTCTTTAAGAGTTCAAACTCTACAGTGGGACGCAGTGGCACATGGCTGTAATCTCAGTGCCAGGGAGTGGAGGCAGAAGGATTTGGAGTGCAGGGTCATCTTCAGCTATATAGCAAGTTCAAGGCCAGCCTGAGCTATAAGAGACCCTGTCTCAAAACAACAACAACAACAAAACCCACCAAGAATCCCTTGTGTTTTATTTCTGTTTCAAGTGAGAGAAGTGAACAGTCTGCATTTAAACCATCTTTTTTTGTAACCGACAGAACTCTGTATTTGCCTCTACTTTCGGAAGCTTTTGCTTCAGGGTCTCTATCACCCGGAGCACCAGTTGGGGTGCTTAGGAAGGTAACAGGCAGGGAGTGAGTGTGTAGACTGTAGACATTTCCTCCGATGACTCTGGGGCCAGAATAGGAGGGGACCATGGTGATGAGAACTGACTGCCTGGAGCAGAGGATATTGTCTCTGCTGCTTGGGGAGTCCCCTAACTTGGCTGTGCTTCTGTCTCCTGGGGACGTTTATAAACTTACTACAGAGGAACGCTCTCGGGGATACAAAGAAAGTCAATAGAGAGAGCTGTCACTGGGCATTTTCTAAAGCATAGTAGTTGTTCATTGACTATCAGCTCTTCCGTCTTCCCGACTGATTGATACCCTGTGAGAATGAGTGTGTGATTGTTCCCAGACTAAGATTTCCCAAGACTCAGAAACTCAGATTTCCTGTGAAAGTTTAAACTATCAGACTGTGAAGTGTGAAGTGTTTCACAGGACATTAAAGATCTGTATGGATCAGCTTCCTTTGCTGTAACTAACTTCTGAGGCAATCAGCTCACAGAGATGGAAGGTTGACCTTTGGCTCACGGTTCTAGAAGGGTTTCATTTTAGAGTCAACTGGCTCCTTCGCTTGTGGTCTATGGTGAGGCAGCACATGTAGTAGAAGAGTGTGATGTAACAAATCCATGTATGTTGTAGCCAGGATAAGAAAGAGGGGAGGGGAGAAAAGGGGAGAAAAAAAAATATATATATATTTCTCTTCTTTCTTTCTTTCTCTCCATCTTCCTATCCATCCATCTATCTGTCTGTCTATTTTTTGTATGTCTGAATATTTTGCCTTCCATGTATGTAGTGCACCACCTGAACCCATGCAGGCCGGAAGGGAGCATCCTATTTCCCTAGAACTGGAGGTACATACTGTTGTGAGCTGCGAAGAGCAGCCAGTGACGAAGGAGGCCCTACTTCTTCAAACTTCACCACTTTGTCAGCGTGGTTTCACCCTGGAAACCATGACCACAACATATAAGCCTTCTGGGAATGGTTAGGCACAAGCTCACAGAAAACACACCTAGAGGCCGGGCCTCTTAAAATGGTTTACCTACCTCCGATCTCAGTAGTCACAGGCCCTGGGTTAATCGGAGCCTATCCATGCCATCCTTCTTCGCGGTGTCACAGAAGAAACTCCTATAGACAGATGACCTTGGACTTGTCAACACTAGCACTGTCTGAACAAGGTCTGAGTCAGCTCTCAAAGGACCGTATTCCATGCTTTAAATATCAAATTTATTTCTTTTTAAAAATTTGTGTGTGTGGATTATTGTAGGCAGGTGCTTTTGGAGGCCAAAAGAGGGCACTGGATTTCTTGGAACTGGAGTTAGAGATGGTTGTGAGCCTCCCTCCTGCTTTGGGTGCTGAAAACTGCACTCTGGTCCTCTGAGAGAGCAGCAAGCAGTCCCAACCACTGAGCCATCTCTCCAGTGCCTGGTTTCAGTTCTTGGAGCCCTCAATCAAAGCCAAACATTTTTACTGTGGCTGCCTTTTTATGCTGCTGGATTTTAGTGTGCAACATTCATTTCATGTGAACATCCATTCTTTCCTTTGGCTACTTTCTTGGGCACCTACTATGTGCTGGGCGTTGTTGCAGGCACTGAGTAGTGAATGAGACAGATGTGTCTATGATCTGGGGAATGCACGGCCTCATGAGAAAAACACTCCATGAACAAGTCAATGAATAAATGAATTTGCATTGAGATATAGGCAAGAAGCTCAAGGAAGAGTAGCTGATTAAAACTGCACGAACAGGGGCCAGCGAGGTTTCTCAGAAGATACAGTGCTTGCTTTATATCCTGGTTAGGATTACCATTGCCATGTTGAATCACCATGACCAAAGCAACTTGGGGTGGAAAAGGTTTATTTGGCTTACACTTCCATATCAGTGTTCATCACTGAAAAAGTCAGGACAGGGACTCCAAAAGGGCGGGAACCTGGTGGCAGGAGCTGATGCAGAGGCCATGGAGGGGTGCTGCTTATGGGTGCTCTTCTCTTGGCTTGCTCAGCAAGCTTTTTGATGGAACCCAGGACCACCAGCCCAGGGATGGCACCACCCACAATGTCTCCACACCCCAGTCACTAACTAAGAAAATGCTCTACTGCCCAATCTTATGGAAGTGTTTTCTTAAGTATGGTTCTCTCCTCTCCTATGATTTGCTTGTGTCAAGTTTACCTAAAACTAGTTAGCACATTATGAAAGCCTGATCACCTGAGTTTGATCCCTAGAAGCAATGGTGGAGAGAGAGAACTGACTCCTGAAATTTGTCCTGTGAGACACACACACACACACACACACACACACACACATGGTAAGTGAAATAAAATAAAGCAAAACGAAATAGGACAAAATGAAGGTTTTTGTTGAGAAGTTGCCTTCTGGCTGGAGGCAAAGATAAATGGTCAAAGCTGAAAGAATTCCAGGCCAAAAACCACAGTCAGCACAAAGGCTCCAAGGCAGGAAGGACCATGAAGTTCTTTCTGTGCCTGGCAGGAGACACAGAAAGAAAAGCGGGTGGAAACAAGGTGATGGAAGACTTTGGTTAGGAGGCTGGACTTCAGCATGAGCTACTCTGGGGAGTTTTAAGCAGCTGAGTGTCTCAGTGTCTTTGAGTGTTCAACTGAGAAGTGCTGCAGCGTGGGTGGGGATGGGGTGCAGGCAGATAGCAGTCTGGGCTCTAGTGAAACCCTGCCTTGCAAAACAAGGGCTGCATTGCAGCTTGGTTTGGCTTCATGCGACAGGCTCCTCAAAGGGTGAGATCCTGCACTTTGTCAACCTTGAGAGTCATTTTGTACATTTAGGGGCACACAGAGAGACCCTAAGCAGAGGACTGGTGTGAACTTATCCAGCCAGCAGTGGCTTGGGCCAGGTCAGGAATGAGGGCTTTGTGCATCTATTGCAGGCTGTTCACCATCTGAAGACTCTGGACATGTTTACCGGCACTTTCCTACTGTGCCCTGTCTCCTCGCTGCAGGGGCTTTGAGGCCAGGGCCCATTTTTCTGGTGTCCCCTCATTTCACAGCAGCTGTGGGATAAGTAGGAGTTCACTGTGCGGGTCAAAGCCTTGGTGCCCAAGTCCTTGCCCTCAGCCTATAGTACCTGACAACCAACCAGCTGGTGCCTGCAGCATGCTGGAGGGCACAGCTCCACCTTCGGACCATGTTGGATAAGAAGTCCCTTCCTCCTGTGCTGTCAGTGTGCTTCGGCTGAAGAGTGGTCAGAGGGAGAGCACTGGGAAGGTGAGAACTAGGGAAAACTGCACCCGATCTCTAGTGCAACTTAACTCAATTAAGAAACGGTTATTATGGACTAGAGCAGTGCTTCTCAACCTGTGGATCGCGACCCCTTTGGAGGGCTAATGACCCTGTCACAGGGGTCACCTAAGACCATCGGAAAAAGTAGATATTTACATTATGATTCATAACAGTAACAAAATTACAATTATGAAGAAGCAATGAAAAAATTATAGCTGGGGAAATGGTCATGCCTTAGGAAGGTTGAGAACCACTGGGCTACAGAGATGGCTCAGCAGGCAACGCTTGTTGTATATGCATGAGACTTGAGCTTGATGTTCAAAAGCCACATTAAACATGAAAAACAATCAACACCGGCAGGATTGTAATCCCAGTGCTGGAGGGCAGAAGTGGGAGGATCGCTGGGGCTCACAGGTGAGTTAACTTCAGTGGAACTGGAAGCTTCTAGACCAGCAAGAACTCTGCCTCAGGGAGAGAGAGAGAGAGCACGTGAAAGGGAAACCAAATAAATAAGGTGGGGGAGGTGGGCTGGAGAGAAGACTCAATGGGTAAGAGAATGTGTGTATCTTCCAGAGGACCCTAGTTCAGTTTCTAGCACCCACATATGGTGGTTCATTCCAGCTCTCTGTGATGCCCTCTTCTGGACACGGACACACACACACACGGTTCTGGTAGAAAGCTCCTACATTTAACTGTGATCTGATTCTGAACACACAGTGAATTCCAGCTGTCCAGCCTGTCCCCTCCAGTGGCCTCTGGGAGATGTCCAAGTGGAGGGAGAATGAGACCGGAGTCAGCGAGTTTCTCCTGCTCGGCATCACCAATGATGCACGGCAGCAACAAGTCCTCTCCTGGGCCTTCCTGTGCATGTACCTGGTCACGGTGGCCGGGAACACGCTCATTTTCCTGGCCATCAGCTCCGACCCGCGCCTGCACACCCCTGTGTACTTCTTCCTCGCCAACCTCGCCTTCGTTGACATCTGTTTCACCACCAATCTCATCCCCAGGCTCCTGGTTGGCCATGTGGCGGGAACACAGACCATCTCCTACGCCCACTGCCTGACTCAGATGTACTTTCTAATCTCCTTTGCCAACGTGGACACATTTCTGCTGGCTGCCATGGCCCTGGACAGATTCGTGGCCATCTGCTACCCACTTCAGTACTGCACCATCATAACCCCCAAGCTCTGCGGGGGGCTGGCAGCCGTTGTGTGGGTAGGCTCTGGCCTCATCTCTCTGGTGCACACGCTCCTCATGAGCAGACTGACCTTCTGCTCCTCCCTTCCCAAGATCTCTCACTTCTACTGTGATGCTTATCTGCTCATGAAGGTGGCCTGCTCAGACACACGGGTCAATCAGCGCGTCTTCCTGGGGGCCGTGGTCCTCTTCGTGACCCCCTGCATTCTCATTGTGGTCTCTTACGTCCGCATCGCTGTGGTGGTCTTCCAGATACCCTCTGCCCAGGGCAGACACAAAGCGTTTTCCACATGTAGCTCGCACTTGTCTGTGGTCACGCTGTTCTATGGGACGGTTCTGGGAATCTATATACGGCCTCCGGATTCCTTCTCCACCCAGGACACGGCAGCCACCATCATGTACACTGTGGTAACCCCCATGCTGAACCCCTTCATTTACAGCCTGAGGAACAAGGACATGAAGGAGGCAGTGACAAGGCTCTTAAACAGGGTCCCAAAGTCCTTTTAGTGCCAGGAGTGTCAGCTAAGATGTCTAAGACAGGAAGACATGGAGCCTGACTCTGGATGCCCCTTCTACCCTGTCTCCTCCCACTCACCCACTCAGATTGTTTTTGGAAAAGAAAAAACATCCCAGAAATTAGAATAGAATAGAATTTTACTATTACTAGAAGGGACACTTAAATCTCCGCTGCAGGGAACAGAAAATCCTGATTATATTGAGTTAAGTAGAACAAGAGTTTATGAGAATCATTATATCCATAATGACAAATCCAGAGGAGAAAATCCAAAACGAGAACTGAAGGTTCCTTCCAGACCTTTGTCTTGTGGCCCCCAGGAACACACATCGATCCCGGTGTTTCCAAGGTGGCTGCTGGGGCACCAATCATCTTTTCGCATCTCAGGTAAGGGGAGGAAAGGCAAAGGGGGCTTCCCAAGGGCTTTGTGGGAAGCCTCAAGCCCCACTCGCTACCTTTTGGTCACGTCCCAGTGACTGTCAGAGCAGTCTGTGAGAGGCAGTTGTTATTTTGGTCATTGCTGCTGTCATTTGGTCTTCTGTTGGTTAGAGTTAGACACGTTGCAGCTCAGAAATGAAAGGAAGATTGAGACAGCAAGCAGGGAAGAGGTTAGCCACACACCCAAGCAGGTCTTGCCATGATAGCAAGCGTGCAGCCCCATTGTTGCTCTCAGAAGTACAAACGTGTTTTGGACTCTAGACTGACAATATGAACACAAGCCATGGATGGGACTCTACATTCTTGACTTTTTCCCCTTACATTTTGCATGTAAAAGGGACCCTGCACTCTTCATTTTTCCTCAAGTTTTCTTTATTCAGGGACCCTACACTCTTAGGTCAAACCCCTCAGTCCTAACCTTGAGTGATGTACCTCTTAGGCAGAGCCAAGAAGTACAGGAAAATGAACTCGGGGTTCTCATGACAACTTTGGGGGGAGAGTAAAGGTTTTTAAAATTACTTTTAAAGTTTGACTTCTACGTATGTGTGCACGCCTGTGTGAGGATATGACCTATGTGTGCAAGTGCCCAAGGAGGTCAAAAGAGAGTGCTGGATGCCCTGGAACTAGAGTTACAAGTGCCTGTGAGCTGCCTACCTTGAGAACTGGGAACTGAACCTGGATCTCTGGAAGAGCAGCAAGCGCTCTTACGAGTTCCTGAGACCAACTTACTTTAAAGGAAATAAATTTCATCTGCTGATTTCTTCTCTGCAGAAAAAAAAAAATCATAGCTTTCAAATGCTAATATATGCTGATATCAAAATACAGCACTATGTTCTAAATAAAACAACAGTAATCGGTAATAAAGCAGTCTAGTAAAACACCAACATGATATTTAAAAAGCAAGTTATAATTTGTCCCCTTTTTGAGATGGTGTCTAGCTATATAACCCAAGTTAACCTAAAACTAGCAATCCTCCTGCCTCAGCCTCTTCAGTCTTGGGACTGCAGTCATGTACCACCATGCTTGGCAAAACAGGAAACAGTTGTCCATAGTATATGAAACCTCTATTTCTAGAGTTGATATCAAGGGACAAATAAATATAATTTTTGAAAATGACTTTATCAGTTTGTATTAATTATACTTTTTTATTTTTCTGTGTCATCTTATATTTTGACATCAGGGGTCTACTGAGATGAGAGGGGGAACCCCTGAACCACAGCTGAACCACAGCAGGGTGATGCCTTTTATATTCAAACTAATTCAGAAGCCAGAGCATCTGGACACTAGCCTTTTACACTCTAGCCTTATAATCTCAGGTCTGGTTATCAAGTTGGTAGAGGGTTTTCTAAGCAGTAGGGCACATGGTTATTATCTAAACCAGATAGTCCACATCACTGTGAGTCACCTTTTCCACCCCCTACCTTCAGAGCCCACCACAGAGGTTCTCATGTTCTCCGTGTTTCCCATGACGCTGGGCTTCCCAGTGTGAGCCACACCTCCTGATGCTGGGCTCTGTAGGTGAGGCAGTCCCTCCAGTGCCTGCATGTCTTCCCATGTGAGCAGCGAGCGCTGCTGCTGGCCTCCTCAGGGACCTTCACCCAGTTAAAGTTTGATCTTTGTCTATACCATCAAAAGGCTTTTCAGGAACAGCCAGAATGAAGCAGCTTGATAGTCTGAGCATGAAGGGGAGCTTAGGAGAAGAAGAACTTATACCTAAGACATGGGTTTCTTGAGAAGTTACTTTGTTTAGGTCATTTCAACCAGGGTCGGGGGTTAAGCAGAGTTTAAAAATTAAAGCTTTTAAAATATAAAAAGATAGTGATTATTACTTTCTGTAAGTAAAGCCTTAAAGTGGGACCAACCTGCACCCCATCCCTGGGATCCATGTGGTGGAGAGAGAACTGGTCTAAGAATTGTCTCCTGACACCGAAATCTTAAAAAGAAAACAAAATAACAGAAACGTGCATGTTTATCCCATGTGTAAAACAAGAGCACCCCACAAGCCTGGAGTGGGAGACAGGCCCTCAGACTTTAGGTTGAACTGGAGCTAATGGGAGTGAGGAAGTGTAGCCACTGGGTCTGAGAGATAACTCAGCCAGTAGAGACACTTGCAGCAACCCCCCCCCCAACAACTGAAGCTCCCCCTTCGATCCCCGGAAGGAGGGAGAGAGCTGACTTGCAAAAGTTGTTCTCTGACCCCCACATACCTGCTGCCGCCAATACACCTACAGTCACACACACACACACCATATGACACACCTGTTGTCTTGTCAGGAGCCGTGACTCCAGCGGCCTGCTTTGATATTTAAATCTCGGTGGAGAGATGGCTTTTAGGAGGCCTTTACTAATGGCAGAGAAGAACTTGCAAGTCCATCTCCTTTTGTTTGTGACAGCAGGTGGGATAGCTTGTGAGGGTCACACCTCTTCCTCAGGCTCCTTGTGCAAATTAACCTATTGTTCTGAGATGTTTTACTGGCTGAAAGTAACTCCTCACAAATAAAGAGGTCAGAGGGCTGGAGGCAGAGGAGGAGGCAGAAACTTGAGACTTGCTGCTTGCTGCAGCAGCCTGCCTTTTGCCATGGCTGTCGGAGTCTGGACCTTTAAAAAGTTTCCTGTGTGCTGTGTGTTTATTAATATTAATCCTCACTCCCGACTCAAGAACCGTTCGACTCTGCTGGCTTGCTCTGGCACTGTCTTAGGGTTCTATTACTGTAAGGAGACACCATGACCAAGGCAGCTCACACAAAGGCAAATATTTAACTGGGGACTGCCTTACAGTTTGAGAGACGCAGTCAATTATCATCACGGCAGGCAGCATGCTGGCATGCAGGCAGACATGGTGCTGGAAGAGCCAGTAGCTCTACTTCTTGATTTGAAGGCAACCAGCAGGAGAACAGATGTGTTTTACAACAGCCTGAGCATTTAAGACCTCAGAGCCCCGCCTCCACAGTGACATACTTCCTCTAACAAGGCCACACCCCCTCCCAAAGGCCACACTTTCTAACAGTACCACTTACTATGGCCAAGTATTCAAACACATGAATCTGTGGGGGCCACACCTCTTCAAACCACCACACATACACATAATTATAATAACAACAACAACAACAAATTATTTTTAAATGTGAAAATTAAATCTCCCTCCTTCCTTCATTTCTACTTTTATGTCTTGTGTACATATATGATTTTATATATCTGTATAAAATCCAGGGGTCACAAATGAAAGAAAGCATGCAGCATTTGTCTTTCTGAATCCGATTAACTCCACTTAGCTTCCCTTGCTCTGATTGCATCTGTTTTGCTGCAAAGAACATAACTTCGTTCTTCTTTATGGCTGATGAAAGCTTACAGTTCCTGTATACATTTTCCTGCTTATGGTCATCCATTCTCTCTGGAACTTTGCTTCTGGGAACAGTGGTAATCATGGGTGCGGTATGTTGGCTTGGAGTCCTTGCTGGGACAGACAAGCACAGAAGAGCTCACCTCCATCAGCCTCCACACACTGTGGTATTCCAGGGAAGACTGCCACCATTCAGACTGCCTGGAGATTGCTTGGTCTTGTCTGGAGGTGTCTACTCTTGGTCTGTGTTATACATAATTAGAGGGTAGGCTTTAATCCCAGCGCCTGGGAGGCTGAGAGAGGAGGACCGCTCCAAGTTCAGAGACCAGCCTGGAGCTCCAAGGTGAGCTCTTAGGCTGCTTAAAGAGATCTTGCCTGAAAAAAAGAGAGGAAAACAGTCTCCAGCCCCCCTTTTCCCTGAAGCTCATGCTCTCTTGCTCTGTCTGGTGTCTACTTTTGGTACTGCAGGTCATTGGGTCCTGTCTCAGTTCCTGATCCATGTCCTTAAGACACCCCCCCACACGCACACGAATACTCACACACATGCACACGCACACACATGCACACATTCACAGTTGCGTGCATCTGCATATGTGCCACATAAATAGATAAATGCAATCAAAATCAGTCTTCCTTTATGTTACCATAGGAGCTTTCTCCTGTTTCTATTTGATTCTTCTTAACATTTCCATCACTGCTGAAATTATCTACTTGATCTTGTTTGTCTCAAATTCTCATTAGTCATTATGAATCCATATTTTAATTATGGTTATAATACTTATGTATCTCCTACCCATAGTTTTAACATGTGTCCATCAGTTAGTCTGGTTAGAACCATTTTGTTTCTTTAGACTGTGTTTTTCTTAATTTTTTTTGCGCCCTATGGTTGTTTTTGTTTACTTTTAACTCAGCCATGTTATGTGTAAATATATAACAGCAACACTATTTATTATTTTGTCATTTTATTATTATTACTGTTTAATTCTATGTTCCTTTACTACAGTCTTATTTACTTTTACTTTGTGTATACAAGTGTTTGCCTTACTGTGTGATTGCAGTGTTAGCAGAGGCCAGCAGACGGGGTCAGAGCCTCTGGAACTGAAGTTAGAAGGTGTTGCGAAGGCAACCTGTGTCCTCTGAGAGAGCAGCAAATACTCTTTACTGCCATCCTATTTCTCCAGCCCTTAATTTTCTGTTCCTTCACTAGAATTTTAC